ACTTGACCATACAAATGCAAGTCATGAAAAGTGCACAGCAGAATCAGAGGACTTGGCGTGTAAACCCCATGCAACCTCCAGTGTGCTGAATGAATCAACAAATCCCCATGTAAATCATCAAGTGAGTACATGCAACTGAGTCAAGTTCACCTGTGTGTCAGGATCTGCTTCCGTTTGAATCACAACCTTAAAAGAGAGATATTCATTTCCCAAGCACGTACAGGTCCAGATATGTAAAATGTCTAAATCAAAGGTCATTTTAATAGCCTTATAATATCATATCCACCTATTATAATTGTTTAGTGCTGCGGAGTTGCCTCCAACTCATAGCCACACTGTGTGTTATAGAGTAGAATGGATCCATTGGGTTTCCTAGGCTGAACTCCTTATGAGGGCAGAATGACCAGTCGTTTATCCTGCCGAGTCACTGGAGGGTTCCAACTGCTGACCTTGTGGTAGGTTAGCACCTGAGTACTTAAGCACTGAGACGCCAGGACTCCTTCATATCTACTTTATACAAACATAAATATATTTCATACCAAATAGATCACATCCAGTTGTGAGAAACCTTCCTCCCTTTTACTTCTAGTTGTGCAACTGAGGTGTTAAGATTGTATTTGCTTGAGAGCAATGGAGTGTGTCTACTTTTCTTAACATTCATCTGTAATGCACAGGTTTCCCTCCTGATTATGCCAAGGGAAATTCTTAAACTCCCGTTTTTGTTTGTTTTGTTGTTGTTGTATACATTAGAAGTTTCTCTTTAATGGTACAGAAAAATAACATTCTATGTCTAACTTGTTAAACTTCTCTAATAAAACTAACAAAATGATTCAGAAGTGGGATTTTGTACTAGCAAATGTCAATTCAGACCTGTTAAATCTAGTCAACAAACTTACCTGCTCCAGCAAGCATTCCACTCAAATGGACTAGTGTGGCTTTTATCCGTTGTTCAGTCACACAGAACAGAATCTGTTCTCTAGCTACCATCCCATTTAGGTTGAAATTCCCTTTATCTGGGGGCTTATAATAGACAAACTATATTTAATTTTACAAAAGTAGATGTACTCTTTTGGTATCCTAGAAACAGATCGAAGTATGCTTTGTTCAAGCAAGTGTTAACAAATAGGAACTAATGTACAACCATGCTAGTACCAAGACTAGAATCTAAACAAAAGCCTGTCTATTTTAAGGGCAAGAATCAGATTGGACAGGGGCCAGGAAGGCCCAAAAGGATAAAGTTGTTTGTGGAAGAGTAGTGCCAGAGACTGCAAGTCAAATGATACAAAACTTAGTAAACCAAGGTCCATCATAAAGGTAATTTTCCCCCAAATCAGACTGGTACATGTCAAATTTGTTACATTACAAAGAAGCTTCCCAGGCCAACAAAGAAGAGCATACCAAGGACCTTAGGGTTTAGATATAATAATTTTAGCAATTAATCTTCTATTAGTTTATCATAACAGCTATTATTAAATAATCTGCAAGGTAGAGAAGTAACTTCCAATTGTTTTCTAAATCGTGTCTTTTATCTTCTGATATGCTATAAAACAAATTGTTGCCCTGTGAGTCTTAGCAGTTATATTCTAAACCTTGAATGCTATAAATTCTTTCTATAGTAGAATGTATTCTAGTGTAGAAACCATGGTGAATCAAATTAGAAGGCACAGGAGGATATAAAATCCATGGATTTTTTAAATTGGATTCTAAAAACAACTCTGAAACACATGCATGCACCAATATTCATTGCAGCAATATTTACCATATCCAGAAATTGGAAAAAAAACAAGTGTCCATCTATTGATGGAATAAAAAAGTGTAATGCCTATACAATGGATTAATACTTAGCCATAAAGAGAAATTAAGTCCTGATACATGCTATTCCACGGAAGAACCTCGAAATCATTATGCTGAGTGAAGTAACTCAGTTATAAGAGGGCAGCTACAGTGTAACTCCAGCTACATGAAATACAGAGTTGGCAAATACAGAAACCAGTTTGTTGGTGGAAAGGAGAAATGGGCAGTTATTGCTTATAGAATACTGAATTTCTGTTAAAGGTGATGAAAAATTGGAGCTGGTTAGTGGTAATGGTTGCACACCATGCCAAATAAAATTGTTATTGAAATGCACTTGTATATGTACGATGATTGGAATGAAAAATGTTTAATTCTATATATGTATGTGTATAGACATACCAAGCCAAAATCAAATTCAGTGTCTTCAGAGTCCATGAAGACTCGTAGCAACCCTATTAGGACAGGGTAGAACGGCCCCTGCCCCTGTGGGTTCCTGAGACTATAACTTTTTACAGCAGCAATGGAAAATATTTAGTTATATATTATCTATGTGTGCATGTTTGTATATGTGTATATACCACATGCGTACTATGCAATATACACACACGAGGGGCTTCATAAAGTTCCAAGGTAAAAACATGTCAAAGAAGGACTATGCAAATATTTTGCCTGAGAGGAGAGAAAAGTGGTAAGCTGCACCCTGTCAAAGGCAAGACTCAAAAAAAAAAACCAAGGCCCATCGATTTGCAGCTTCGCAGGCTTACGCACACATACACATACATATATATGTGTATACTGCAGGGAAAATGTGTGGCAGACTGCTCCCATAAATATTTAAAACCCAAACAAATATGCTAGTGAGTCGATGGTGACTCATAGTGACCCTATGTAGGGTTCCCAAGGTTTTAAATCTTTACAGAAAGAGACAGCCTCATATTTCTCCCACAGAGAATATGGTTGCTTTGAACAACTGACTGTGCTTAGTAATCCAGCTTACCTGACAGTGCTACTAGGGCTTCTTCCATAAGGATTTACAACCTAGGGAATCCTATGGAGCAGTTCTACTCTGGCCAGCAGGGTCTCTATGAGTTGAATTCAACTTAATGGCAATGAAGATTTTATATATATGATCTCCACAATAAAATGAATACAATGATAATAATATGAGGGGGAAATCCGGCTTCCCATTTTTCAGCACAAGCCAGCATGCTCAATATCGCATGAATGGTTGACGTCTACCAGAGGCTGAATAGAAGATGAATCATCTGACTTCCTTCCGTACCCTTGGCCTTGCTCTCTAAATGAGATTAATTGAATGGTGTCTTGTGAAAACATATATGCTCCAGATATATAGGCAATGCTGGGCTCAGGTGTTTGGTAATAAAATCTAGTTCTAGCTCTTTGTTCAGTCTGAAATTGGGACAGCCCAGGAGAGGTGGATATTAGTAATAGTGAGTGAAAAGTTCTTTTGATTTCCCATCTATTTATGTTTCCAAACCCACCCAGCATGTTCATTTCTCTGTGCCTTTGTTCATACTGTCTCTAGTATTACAGTTTTCCCTTCCTTATCCTCCTTCAAAGAAGGGATGAACTGAAATCATATAGTGTACAAAAGCCAAGAGAAGAGTCTCAAGATACAGTTCAATCATGTGAAGTACCACCAGAGGTCAAGGAGAGCTTTCAGGGGCTCACTGTTGGTCTTCTAGGACATTTTAATCACCATAATTAATGCGTACCACGATTCCAAGCAATTATATCTGGCAAACTAATAGTACAGGATTTAAAAAACCCTTTTATTTTACTTGTATTTGTCTAGACATTCTGGAAAAGGTAGCTGCTCTAAAATTTTAGTGCTTCATGTATTTTTTGCATGTATCTATCCATATCTTAACAGATATCCCTGAATCCTGAAAATCAAATTATCATGTTAGTCTTTGGTGAGAGCAGATTTCTCCTGTTCCACAATTTTGTTTCATCTGAATAATCTAAGTAAGTGTCTTTTAGTTCTCATTGTGTTTATTACAAAGTCACTAAAGAAATAGGTAACAAAGAAAGATAACACAGCCTTTTCAAATAAATGTATCTTGCTAATGGTTTAAAGAGAACGGGCTAGCTGGAATTAGAACAAGATAGTACAAAGCTAAATTTAAGACCTGGAGGAACTATAGTAGAAAGGGAACAGCTTTCAATTCCCTCTGAAAGGTAAAAGAGAAAAAGGTAACTTTTTCTTTGAAATTCTCAAGGGAAGATTAAGATTAGATTTCTTCTTAAAATAAGTGACTATTTGGGGAAAAGGGGCAGCTAAAGCTTAATTGCCTTTTATTGTGGTAAATACATCATATGTGACGAAACATTGGATGTGCTACAATCTTCACATGTATGCTCTTCATGTAGTTCAACCATCACGCCTATCCATTCCCCAGTTTTTCCCCTCATTAATTACTTTTTCAGTGCACTGGCTCACAAAGCATTAGACTGAGAAACACTGGAGTAAAGCCATTATCTTGCTCATTTCTGCAAAGGGACAATCAGTGGCTGTATTAAAACCACCATCAAATACTTGATTGGTGCAGCTAAAGGCTGAGAATTGATCACAGACAGAGGAAACAGGATACATGACCACTACATGCAGGATGATGCCCTAGATCAGACAATGGACCAAAAGAGAACATCAGTGGTCACACAGGTGAACTCTGAGTAAAGTCTGCAGTTCGATTAATGGTAATAAGTGAATGTAAGCTTTTTTAGTTTAAAAAATGTTCAATGTTAATATGAGATGTTAATGATTGGGAAACCCGGTCAGGGGGTATATGGGAACATTTTGTGATCTTTGCTGATTTTCTGTAAAGCTCAATTATTTTAAAATGAAAAGCAAAGAAACAAGGGGATCACTGGTAGAGAACAGGATACTTGCTTGCATTAATCAAGTCATCTCCTCATCTTCAAATGCACTTGCACCCTCATAAATATCCAACAAACTGAATTCATACACAAATGCAGCCCAGCTTTTCAGTCTAACACACCTGATTGCTCCCTTCACCTGCTCAACTCTGGAGTGTCCATGTGGTAACATATTAAGTTGCATCCTAAATCCTGCTCTAACAAAGTTCCTAATGGCTACATGAGGTTATTTCAATGTAGACATGTATTCTTCAAAAGAAAAAAAAAAGGATGCACACATTTTCAAAGATATCACCGTGACTTACAAATGCAGGCATCTGAGGGTGTGGGAACATAAACGGCACCTGCTGGGTGAACATGGCGGCGGCAGTCTTCCGTTGAATCAGATTGTTTCGCCCATTAATTTCCAGCTGCGTTTTTAAGTGTGCAGGAGGATGAAAGTACTTGCAGTTCTCTCTGGTACACCGATCCTAGGAATGAATTTGATAAACTTACATTTAGTATTTCTGAAAACCTAGCATGGTCAAGACATGGCTATGAGCTTCTTGCTTGCCTTCTTAGCATGTGCCAGGTACTGTGATAAGTGGTTTACACGTTATAATTTTATCTTCATATCAGATGAGGAAACTGAGCCTAATGCAGGCTAAGCCACTTCCCTACAGTCACACAGCTAAAAAGTGACACAATTGGAACTGAAAGGCATTCAGTCTGGTTCTAGAACCTGATCTCTTAGGGACTCTGTTCTGCTCTACTTGGTTAGGCACCCCATTGCATTTGCATCACAGGGGAATTAGAATGATATGGTAGAACGTTCACTCGCGCTCACGGTCATCTCATCAATTGTGATGTCCAGCAACCCTATAGGACAATCTGTCCCTTGGGTTTCTGAGGTTATAACTCTTTCCAGGAGTTCCCAAGGAGCGCTGGTGGTTTCGAACTTCCGCACCTGTGGGAATCAACCCAATGCATAACCCACTCCACCACCAGCACTCCCTGTGGCATAACAACAACAAAATGTGTCATTTTAGAACAATGAGATATAAAACTATGCATATTTAAAGCACACAGGATTGAGCTTTTGAATCCACATATAATGAGTAACCAAGAAAATGGAGGGAAAGTGTTTAATAATGATATTATTCTGGGCAATTTAGTCTCTAAACTTTTTTCAGAATCCATCCAATGTAAGTCACCCTAAAATTCATTGATATACTCTAAATCAAATATTAAATCCCTGTAATTGGTAGTCTTGCTGTTCTTTATCTTCCAGAGGCCATAGAACACTTGGATACTTGAGATCAAAGTGTCTTTCGGTGCCTCGGTTATTTTGAATGCTTTCTTCTTTATTGAAGCATTTCCAGACGGGCTAATTTGTCAGTCCATGGACTCAAACAAGTCTTTGGTGTTGGCTACATGCTGACAGGGCAGCTGATTATAGAATTTACGATATTGTAGCAATGGGTGTCCTTGGATTTGAGGGGTTATCACATTGTCATAATGTGATCCATTACTGTATGTTTATTTAGCTCATGAGCACTATATAAAACAAATTAGTTCTCTCATTGGGGTAAGGACAACTAAAAGCAGCGCCCCCCCCCCCGCCCATGCTCCCCAGCAAATGCAAAAAAACCCCAAAAACTGTACGATTTTGGAAGGGGTGGTGGTGACGAAAACGCGACAATTCCTCTCTCTCTCTGTTTTGGGTGGCAGTGGAGAAGGAACCCAAGAACACAAGTTGCTAGGCCACCTGGAGTCCCTGGAGAAAGCTGAGTTCACCGAGTGTTTTCATGCCAACACACCCCATTCGTTTCCCTTCTTTATGGTGCCTATAGGGTTCACACAGTATGTCTCCATATTTAGTTATCTTAATATGAAAGCATTTCTATCCTTTCACATGAATCAAGGCACAGGAGGGATGCCCTACTGTTTGAAAATTTGCTTTATGCCAATTGGCTTTTACAAAAGAGGTACGTTAGTACATGTTTTTGCTAACTGCAAGAAAGTCTGGATGGATTTTCACTTTTGAGGGGTGTGTGTATGTGTAACTAGTGTTTAGCCATTAAAGAGGCAGCACCCGCCCTAAGAATTGATGGCTATGCGCTCATATGTTGTTTTGTTTTACTTTAACAGCTCCCACCCACCACCACCCCCAGTGGTGAGACTGGCCTTGCCAAGCTCCTTCCCTGGGAATCGCAGGGTAGATACCCATTATTGCCACATTATGGAGCCTTTGTATCTATCATGCAATTCCTGCATTTACTGAATGTTACTAATTGGGGGTTCGAGTGTCTTTCCGCCTCTGGAAAGCAATTGAATATAACTGAAAACTAAAGACTTAGTATTGGATTCGTTTTTGTGGTTCTCCCACTGATCAAATTATTTGTACTCAAATTAAAAGGGTGTACTAAATATATATATATATTTAGTGTATATATATATATCCTAGTTTCAGTGCAGTTAATATAAGCTACCTGCAAATCTTGACACAGGAAGACTTTATGGATAGTAGAAATTCAGAATTTTTTAACTGAATCTTCCTAGTCATAAAAGTACCCCAGGAATAGTTATGTAATTTTAGCACCTATAAGGACTGTAAGAAAATCACCATATAGGTGCTAACATTCACAATAATGGGATTTTCCCTCACTATTAAGAGCCCTGGTAGGACAATGGCTGAGCACCCGGCAGCTATCAATATGTCAGTAGTTTGAACCCACCAGCCTCTCTGCAGGGGAAAGATGTGGCAGTATGTGTTTGTAAATATTTACATCCTCGCAGACCCTATGGACACTTCTATTCCATCCTATATGGTTGCTATGAATTGACATTTGATTTGGACAGCAACAGGTTTGGGGTTTTTCCCTCACTAATGTGCCCATGCCCCCTATGAGAAACCATAAGTCTCTTTTTATATCTCCCACACCTACACTATTGTAGAGAGCCTCCAGGGTGTCACAGTACCTAGATTGTGCACCTCATGTAACTGAAGTTCATTGGCTCAGAACTAACTGCCTGAGGGGAGGCATTGGCACTCGGTGACCTCCACGGCCACACATGCTCATTAAACTTCAGTTTCTCTTCGTCCTCCTCCTACAACCTAACATCAAAGATTTCCCCAAGGCTCAGTCCTAAATCGTCTGCTCTCCTCTAATCTCTTTACCCAAGAGAAATGAGGTTGCTCCAACGTTTCACCCATCATAACAACTGCTCAGATCTTAAATCCCCATGTCCATCTCTGACGTATCTCCTGAATTTCAGTCCTTTATCACAAAGGAAAACTGTACTCAGAGAGCCTGCATTTGGAGCAAATTACCCTCGGTTTCCCAAACCAAGGCAATGGTAACACAGCACCTCCGGTTTCTCGGCCAATAGACTCAACCAAATGTTGAGTCAGCTTATCCATTGCTATGTAATCCATTCCAACTCAATGCTTACCTATAGAGAAGAGAACTGCCCCATGGGGTTTCCAAGGCTGTAAATCTTTCCAGAACAGGCAGTCACCTCTCTCTCCTAGAATGGCTGTCAAGTGTCAATTTTTCGGCTGGCAACTCAGAATGAACGACTGTTCCACCGGGGATATTTAGACTGAATCTAGCCAGGTTTGAACAGCATACTCCAGACCTTACTTCCCTTTAAACTAAATTTATTTTTCAAATTTTAGTATACTCAAGTGTAGGGTTATTAACCCAAGTCCCAGCGTTGGGGCAGTTACATAGAAAGAGTGAGAAAGAATTAGGTTTACCTTCAGGTTGTAAAACCATAGCTTTCCTTGATGTATTGTCACAAATACTTAGCACAGGGCAATTAATGTACAAACGAGCTTTACACAATTGATGTGTGTATGGATTGTGATAAGATTTGTATGAGCCCCTAATAAAATGATTTTAAAACAAAACAAAACAAAATACTTAACACATTATTTGTATGAACTACTCAAAGGCTGATAATTTTTCCATTGCTAACAGCCTCCTTACCCCCCCAAAAAGCGCCATATAAATGAAATTTGTCCTTCACGTCCAGCAATTCTAAATAAAAGACCATGTTAACAAAATGAAGAAGACATTAGAATTTCACCATTAGCTACAATTTAAGGTTTCAATATCATTTACTGAATGCAATCAGAGAGAGAAGGGAAGGAATATAGGGAAGAACCAGTATGTTTGGCATTTTTCCTGCAAGTCTATCATGAATTATGATGTGCCTTTGTGGTTTTATATCACTTTTCTTTACATATAGTAACTTTTCTTGGGAAATTAATGACACTTTTAAAAAGCAAAACCAGTAGATTGAAATAGAAAATAAATGAGAATTACCCTTTAAAAATCACATCAAGTTGTACTATAAAACTAAAGTATGGAATATGAGGCAGCAAGAGCCTTAAGAAAACCTTTCTCATCTTAGTTATGAGATTTTACTTGATTTATAAAGCATTCTATATTGAATGACAGAACCCCAAATTTAATTCTTTCACAATGCAAATACATAGTAATCCTACCTTACCAAAGATATTTATGTTAAAGAAAGCTTGGAAAAGAACAGAAAAACAACTACATAGGCTACCCAAACAATATGAGAGCAGACCAAGTAATTTAATGAGTATATTATCTGTGGAACAAAATATTTCAACAAAAACAAAGTAAGTCCCTGGAATTTGGGTAAAATGACTTTAGAATTCAGGATGATGCATTTATATATAAAATACTTGGTGATAATAAATCTCTCCTATATAGGATTCATTTTTCATGATACCCAAACTTCATTATAGGTCAACATACTTTCATTGATCTTTTGTGGGTGTAAACTTTGTTCCTGACATTAGCTAACATTTGCCTTTAGCCTTTTGAAGAGAGTGTGGCTTTGCTAACCATATATGGATGGGATGGAGGTACAAGAGAGGGATTGTACCATCAAAATAAGTTATCACCAATTATTGTTATCCTTTGGAAAACCAATGACTGTAGACTAGAAAAGTATCCCCTGGTGGGGCATTGGTGAAGCACCCAGCTTCTAAATGAAAGTTCAGCAGTCTGAACTCACCGACTGTTCTGAGGGTGAAGAACTCTTTCAGAAAGAGTTACAGCCGGACGTGGGTGTGGGAGACCTGGTACGGCATGATCAAGGGGAATGTAACCAAGAGGAAGTGCTGAAATCCTGGTGGGGACTGAGCATGATAGTGGGACAGGAGGAGAATCAAGGGAAATAGAGGAAAGAGCTGGGAGGCAAAGG